ACCTTGATGTTTTGGGACCCCACTTTGGGTCCCGACCCCAACTTTGGGAAACACTGATTTACATTGTCAAAAAGCCTGTGTTTTCAGGGTTATTAACAAAGTTTGTGTACTCAGACCAGTAATATTTGGGGTCACAAGTTTTTGCCATGAATATTTTGTGGGTCAGAAGATAAAAAGTTTGGGAACCACTGATTTAGTAAATGTGTCAGGGTTTTTTAAATGTGTTCTGTTTGCAGATGATACAACATTTTTTTTTGTTTGGGTTAAGATATCGAACAAATGTTGGAGATGATACAGTCAGAATTTGTAAAAATACAAACTTGGTTCAAACTTAATAAATTATCATTCAATTTGGATGAAACCAATTATATGATACTGTATTTAGTAATAGAAAAAGAACTGTAGCTGTTTCATTTAAAGTTGATGGTGTTGAGATTTGTAGAGTTTGGTGTGTTATTGATAAAAAAAAACTGACATGGAAACCTCACATAAATTATTTAAGAACAAAAATAACTACATTTATTGCAGTACTTTACAAAATAAGGGAGTTATTCAATGATAAAGCTCTGTATGTGGTGTAACATTCAATAATTGTTCCACACTTGATATTATACTGAAGTCTGGGGGAAAGCATGTAAAAACAATTACAAATCCTATTTTTATTTTACAGAAAAGATCTGTAAGAATTATCACCAGAAAAACAAGCTTATATCCAACATAAATTTACAGGTCTGCTCTTTGAAGAAATGCGTATTGCATGCTACCTTTCATTCTAAAGTTTTAGACTGAAATCATTTTGTGGTGAAAAGGAACAGAGCTGTTATCAGTCAAGTCCTGTAAATAACATTAGTAGTAATCTCATGATGTCAGAGGTGGGCAGTAACAAAGTACATTTACTTGAGTACTGTTTTTTGGTATCATTTTCTTGATAGCTGTTTACTTTCACTCCACTACATTTCTCTAAAGGCTTTAGTTACTAGTTACTTCTTTTGACCGTGTTTTTGTAATTTTTATCTCTTATGTTCCACCGACACACTGTAAAAATACACACTACACCCCTATACAGTAGGTGGTGATAAACAGCTTTAAACCTGTTGCAAGGAGAAGAAGAAGAAGATTTTTTTTACTTTTAGTCCCTTTGTTCTATGAATGGTTTTCTACTAATAAACTTTGACTAATTGTTTTCAATCAATCAACTTTATTTCTACAACACAGTTTAAAAGACCACAGGGGGAACCAAAGTGCTGTACAATAAGACAAAAATACTCTAAGACAATAAAAGAACCATACACCAGGTTCACACAGGTACAAGACAAGACCCCAGTGTGTTAAAAGCCAAAGAATAAAAGTGTGTTTTTAAAACAGATTTAAAGACTCAGCACTGCTGAGTTTGGAAACCAGTCTTCCTTTCCTGAAATTATTGTAACTCATGCTGCTGAAGTGATGAAAACCTTTATTTTTCCTGGGTGTAACCAGGTCCATGTCTGTGCCGTGGAGTACGCCACGCCCCTGCTGACTCTGTACCGGATGTCCCAGGAGAGAAGTGCTGGTTTTGGTGAGCGTGAGCGCAGGCAGCAGGTCCTTCTCTTCTACAGGACCCTGCAGGACATTTTGGACCAGTCGCTGGAGTGTCGCAACCAGTACAAACTCATCCTGCTCAACGGTACGAAAATAACCCAACATGCATGAGTGTGAACGTTACGCACACTTCACAGCCATGACACATTCAGCCTTTAGATTTTTGTTTATCAGCTTCCCCTTTTAAGAGCTGACTAGTAGGAATTAGGAGGGTTTTTTTTAGTTTATGAGTGTAAAATAGATTTTAACTGTGTCCAGCAAATTTCTGTCACATGTCAACTTTTCTCATTTTACTGTCAGAAACACAATTTAACCACGTGCTGTTAGATTATTGGCTACATTTGAAAAGATAGTTTGTTCTTAAAGCAATGAGAGTAGGTTAAGAAAGCAAAGAATAAAAAAATTAGTTATTAAAGCATCCAGCTTATTTTTCTTCCTGTTGTAGATGAGCATGAAGAAGACCCCCACTTCCTGTCCAAAGCCATCCTCACACACTTGGAGCAGCAGGAGAAGGAGGAGTACTGTCTGGGTCCACCTCCTCTGCAGGAGTCTGAACGAGCTTTTCGGGGCTTTTCATTGGCTATGGCTGCAAACAGCACAAACTGGCACCAGCCAGAGCCGATGAGCAGGGAGCCGACGCTCATGATCAGCCTGGACAAACCTCAGTCTCTGAAGGTGCCCGTGGAGAACACGGACCACCACAGCCCCTGAAGGAACCCTTGGAGGACATGGATCGCAACTACAAAGCAACACTTCCATCCATCCATCCATCCATCCATCCATCCATCATCTATACCCGCTTCTTTCTTTCAGGGTCACTGGTGCTCATGTCCAGCAGTCACAGTACGAGGGGCGGGGTACACCCAACACCTCCAATTACTGCTTGTATTGTCTCAAAGGACATCAATAAAGCTGGTCCACTAGTCCACTGTCAGAAAAAAAACAACAATAAACATTGATTTACTTGTCAAATTGCTGATTGTGTAAAAGAAAGTTAAAGACTTGTCATACCTTAAAGGAATGCAGACAACCTGCAACCTTTCGGAGCTTTAAACTGATCATCTCATGTAGAAAAGTTATAGAGATGGCAAAACATCACAAAACTGCAAAATCTTGTGATCTTTAACTCTTTAGAATATGTGTTGAGGATAAATCTCATCGACTACCAGACCACACTTCAGCTCAATATCTGTCACCCATGATTTGCATTTGGACCCATGGGGACCGGGCATTGGTCCCCACAAGGCTGCTTTTTCGGGAAAATAGTTCCCATGATGTAGGAAAAACAAGGCCACACACACACACACACACACACACACACACACATCCTTGTATTTGCATGAAACTGAGGACTTTGTATTGACTTTACATTCATTTTTGTAACTGATGTCCAGCCCAGACATTTTCCTTAAATTAACCATTACTGGTCTAAAGTTAACACTAACCTGAACCAAAACATAATTCATACTAAACCTCTAAACCTAACTAGTAGTGTGTAGTAGAGCTGCAAATGAAGTGAGGACCGGGAAAATGCCCTCACTTTCCAATTCTCACTCTGTAGCAGAAACACACACACACACACACACAAAGGTAAAGAGAGACAATCCTCATGACTGCTGAACCTACTTGGTGACTCAGATGTGTTTACAGCCTGTTGGTGAGACAGGAACAGAACAATCTGACTCGTCTGTTATCAGTTCTACAGTTTTTACAGACAGACTGTTCAGAAATAACAGGCAGCACACAGATCAGGACAGGAGAGAAACGAAACAGTGGAGAACCTCAAGCACACACCAAGAAATGGCCATGAAGTCGTTTATGTTTTCTTAAAATAGTTATAACTATGCCCTGCTGCCATAAGTCAGGTTAACATGCAACTGCACAAGGTTGTCTGTTAGCAAAATATCTCATAAACCATTCAATGAATTTTGCTGAAATCAAGAAACGATCTGTAAATCTAACACGGATTACCTTACAAAGCTCCATCATATATTAAACATCTTATTGTTCCATACTTTCCTAACAGAGCACTTCACTCTCAGACTGCAGGTTTACTTGTGGTTCCTGGAGTTTCTAAAAGTAGAATGGGAGGCAGAGCTTTCATTTCTCAAGCTCCTCTCTTGTGGAACCAACTTCCAGTTTCTGTCTGTGAGGCTGACACTCTGTTTACTTTTAAGATTAGACTGAAGACTTTCCTTTTTGATAAATCCTATAATAAGACTTAGGTTTCCTGAATTATTCTTCATTTCTGCTGCTATAGACTTAGACTGCTGGAGCACAAACTGAGCACATTTCCTCACTCTGCTGTTGTCTTTAGTCTCTCTTCTCTACATGTTTATTGTAATTATTTCTATCATGGTTTTTTTTTTGTCTCTTCCAGAAGAAGGTGTACCTGGACCAGTCCTGGACCAGTTCTTCTGTGTTTGTGTCTCTTTCCTGTCCTCCAACCAGCCGGTCGAGGCAGATGGTCTCCTGTCCTGAGCCTGGTTCTGCTGGAGGTTTCTTCCTGATTAGCAGGGAGTTTTTCCTCTCCACCATTTGATGGGAGACTGTGATGAAGTAATTCAACACAATCTGCTGGTTTCTTCTTTAGATTGCTCTTTTTATGTACAGTGCCCTGAGACAACGTATGTTGTGATTTGGCGCTATATAAATAAACTTGAACTTTTTGGATTCAACATAAAGAGGATCGCCACATTAAACTGATTTTACAAAATTCAAAAAAGGCTGACAATTCGGTGTGGCAGTGGCCGAGACAGATCCCTAAAACGTTCTCCAAGTGTAACAAAACAATAGTCACACAATCCAAACACTAGACTGTTAACAGCCATTAGATTCAACCTATCCAGACTGTGAAGGATGTGGCCTCTGTGGGCTGCAGTACACATTCAACATCTCCTTCACCCCTGCCTTAGTGATGGACTCAAAACTTCCCACAGCTCCTCAGACTCTGCTCCCTCAAAGGTGGACATGGACGGATTAAGGAGATCCTCAAAGTGCTCAGCCTGGAACAGATCCTGTTTTCCTTTTCCAGAGCTTCCTAAAGCCAAACAGTTTAATCAATAAGTTTATTAGTAAAATTAAATTTAAAATAATAAATCTGTATTTGTTGTCTACAGAGGCAAAAAAAAATTCTTTTAAATTTTTTAATTTTATTTCATTATAAACTAAGCAGTCATACATGGAAATCCATGACTCGTTAGTTTCTTGTCTGAGTCAGGCTGATTATAGTTTGTGTTTGTTTGATAAGGATTCAAAAACAACATCTGCAGACATGTGAGTTTCTGTCATGGTTTTGGAAGGTTTCTTGACCCACATGCAAACACTCCAGGAAACAAGTTTTAAGATGTTTATTTTAAATGAAAGTGATCTTGGTCCAACGTGGTCCTGCAGACGCAGGGCGGGGGGGGGTCAGAACACTGGTGGAGGACGAAAGGTGATGAGACCAGGAACTTAGCTTACTATGAAGATGAAGCAGGTCGGCCAGGGAGAGGTGAGTGGGATCCTAGGGGTTGAGTCTGTGAGCCAAGCAACGATGAGCAGGTTGGAGGGCAGACAGTAGTGATGGGCAGTTTGAAGCTGAAGCTTCGGCGCATGTATTAAAAAAAAACAACACACTGTTTCAGAAGCACTGTGTCGGAGCTTGATTCGTTTGGTAAAAGTCACGTGATCAGTGACGTCCGAAGCTTCGAAAGTGGTGAACTTACGTCACTGCTTTGGTACCTGATTCAAAGAAGCCTGAGGAAGTGAATCATTGGCTACGTTCACACTGCAGGTCTTAAT